GTTGTTAATGTATTTTTATTTTGTTGTAGGTATCTTTATTTAAGGAGTCAGTAGATGCTTTTGTTGCCTTGTACAGATTTATACCACAAGAAAGTGAAGACTTAGCTATGAGGTAATTTACTTTCTCTAACATGTCTTTGCAAAACATATGCTGAGCTGTACAATGTGCAGTCACGCTTTCTACTGTTATGCAGGGCTATCCCCTACTATAAAATACTGATGTGACTAGACATGTGCAGCGGCTAAAAATTTGTTTAGTTTCGTATTTCGTTTATTTCGTTTTTCGGATTCGGGTCCGAAATTGAATTAGTTCTGGAAATCGTATTCGGATCTGATTCGGAATTCGTGTCGGATTCGGAATTCGGATGAATTCCCGAAAATACAACTTGAGGTGGGGTAGCAGAATTGGCACATTTGTCATTTCTGGTTGCTGTGCTCTAGTCTTTACTATTAAAGGGACATTAAAATTATATCCTTAATTTGTTTTTTTCCAGTTTAATGTTAACAGTGCACACACAGGATTTGGACGAAATTAGTTTCCAAATCCGGAATTTCGGATTTGGATGATTTCGGATATGTTATATTTCGGAAATTCGGAGCGAAACGAATCGCACATGTCTAGATGTGACGACATAGGCAGTTGAGTTCTTGAAGGAGTACTTTTTACCTTAGACTTTGTTATTACACAGTCAGGTTAAGGCGGATTAAAAACTCATATAATTTTTTCATTATTTATATTGCATCTTTGAACACTTTAGGGTGTAAAGTGCTCCATTAGTAAATAAGTCCAATAAATTTGTGAATAAAAACTGGAGGAAGAGAAAATTAGACATAGCAACCAAACACATTAGTCTTCATTTCCTGATCCAAAAGGGAGTCTTATTGGTTGCTTTAACTGACTGTTTTCTCTGCTTCCAGTTTAAGGGCTTGTTTACACCATCTGCGTTTGGGCTGTGCTGGCAGTTTTTTTCAGGGCAACCCAAACACAAGACAAGGCAATTTGTCTTGTCATGGGTGGTGACAGTTCACACCATTGCGTTTTAGTGGTGTGCATTTAGAAAAGTACGGCATACAGTAAGTGCAGTAATGCACAGTACAAACGTATTACACCACAGTGAGCTCACAGAATGCACTCTGGGATTTCTAATGAGATAAATAACAAAATTTTGCTTCTTTCCTTTGTTAAGGTACTTAGTAGGTGTCTTACTAACAAAGTATGTACCTATCAATCTATGAAGAATAGGCTTGCTACACAATCAAACATGCCCTATACAAAATGATCAACATTGTTTTAACATAGTTTGGTTATTTATTACTTGGACATCTATTCTCCTATCACATGAGCCAAATGTCAAAATGATAAATAGTTCCAGAAACAGAGGCAGCTGAAACAAATTTTTACTGTAAAGATTAAGCTTGACCATGCTATTTCCCTCCTCCTAGGCTTCCTTTTTGGTCAGTGAGGCCACACAAAGACCAAAAAGGAAGAGAAACACTACCTACATGTAGGTAGATTGAGCAGGTGGAAGGGTAATGTCATCCTCAACTACAGAAAAAGGCAGACTTAATCTGCTAACTTCTTCAGATCTACTGATTAATCTGACATGCAGTTTTCACTGACCAAAACCTCTGAATTTTCCTAAGCTATTAGTTCAGATTGACAGGTTTTATGAAATAATTATTTGTATGACTTTATAGATAAATAAATAGAGAGGTCTTTCATCAACCATGATGAACAATTACAGGCCCATACACTATGGGGTCTATTCACAAAGCTGCCGAAGGATCTAGCCGTAGCTTCAGCTGATCCTTCGGCTAGCTTCGACCCCAGGACCCCTTCGGTTCAGTAGAACCGAAGGGCTGCTGTATGGGCTATTCACTATAGCCGTACCGCTCCCAAAGTTGGCAGAGGGGCTCAGTCGCGCCGAAGGCATATGCCAAAGCTGAAAGCCGACAGCCTGCTACTGACTACTGGGCAGAGCCAACCATCATCTCAGGGCTGGCTCCGGCCACTTGCACAGACAGATCAGCGTCCCTGGTTACCAGGTAACCAGGGACGCTGATCTCTAGACAGCCCAACTCTCCCGGATGCTCCGGGTCTCTCCCGCTATTAGATAGCGGCTCCCAGCCGCCCGGGAGAGAGACACTTTCTCAGATAAAGTTTTACTCTGCTCGATCGAGCAGAGTAAACCTTTCCCTGCTCTGTTGTTTTTTTTTCTTTTTCTTCTGAAATCGGAGCCGTTGGCTGCCGTCAGAATTAAAACAAAAAAAACCCAGCATATTTCAATTTGCAATAGCCAATAGCAAACTAGCTATTGCACCCGTCCATTGCTGCTGTCTATCAGCAGGGGGGACCTGATGTCCTCTATCAGGTCCCCTTCTAGTGATTGACAACAGCAGAGGGCGGGTGCAATAGCTAGTTTGCTATTGGTTATTGCAAAGTGAAATAGCCAATAGGTATCTAGCTATGCATTCCTATGGTGGATTTTTTTTTTATTCTGACGGCAGCAGAACCACCCGGCCAATAGAAAACAGTTGGGCGGAGCTAGCTGTCACTGCTAGCTCCTCCCAATCATTTTCTATTTTATTTTTTCGACTTTTTAAACTGTTTTTCTATTCTGCTCGGTACCACAGGGGTACCGAGCAGAATAGCCGAGCGGCATTCGGCTATTCACTCACTGCTCTTCGAGATCTATGAGAATAGGCCGAACAGCAGCGCGTAGCCTGTTGGAGGTTTGGCTTAACCGATCCAGATGTTGGTTCGGCTGAGTCAAACTCCTTCTGCACTTCGGGTCGGTCGAACATCCGGAGCATGTTTGGGGCGACCCGAAGCAAGCCGCAGCAAGCCGATGTACTCCTGATTTTAGTCAGTGTACGGCTGAAATCAGCCGTACAAGCCTGAAGTAAATAGCCGAACAGCGTTGGGCTCACTTCACTTTGGGTCGGTTATTCACTCCTCTGCCTATGGCAGCTTTGTGAATAGACCTCTATATGATCATGAAGCACCAGTAAAAGCTAAGATTTTCTTCATCAAACTCATTCCCTTTTAGCTAGGCATGTATCCCCAAAATTTTGAATTCAGACTTAAAAATGTACTCTTCTATAATTGTACCAGCATAGGACTTTTATAAAAGTGCTATGAAACTATCAAACAGCACTGATGTTTGCATTTGCATTCAGAATGCATTCATGAACAACATGGCACGTGTCATCTTTTCATCATGAGTTTGGCAATTCAGTGGTTTGATTTACTACCAAGACTTTATTGTCCTAGCGTTAGTAGGTGCGTATAAGTGATCTATTGCAGAGCACCAAATAAAACCTGCCACCTGAAAAATTTGTACAGCTTATTCATGGTCCATGTGCCACAATTTAAACAGCTAAGCTGATGCTCAAATATTTATGACAAAAAACTAATTTACTGTGTTTTTCACTGCTGTGCACCCAAAACATCATCAGACCTTTTTTAAATTGCAGTGATGTGAAAAAGTCCTTTATTGAAGAACCAATTTGACATAAAGAAATAGAATTACCAATTGGATTGAAGTTCCTGTTTAAAATATAACATATTGTTTACTCAATTTCATAATGTTCTCTGTTCATTTCTTATTAGGTCTGTGGATGGTACGTAATAATTAAAAAAGAATTTGTCAAAATTCCTAATGTTATGTGAAATAGTTTAATAAAAGCAGTAAATATATAAGAAGCAACTGAGAAGTAATTGACACAGCTGTTGCCTTGTGTTAATCTTTTATCAGTTAATCAATATGAACACATTACTATTTGTACACATTTGCTTCTCAATGTATTTACATTTACAGATGTACATGTAACTATATAAATATTTTTTATTCCTTTGTTTTATATTTATATAAAACAAAGGAATAAAAAAAATTAAAAAACTTCAATGGATTTTTTTTATCTCTGAAAGCAAGAAAAAGGCGGACTTAAAGATTTATAGGTCAACAGGCGTGAAAAAATATATTCATTATGCATTTTATTTTATGCAATACAGCACCTAGAAATAATAATAAGGTTTATCTAAAGTATCAGTTCCAATGCTGTTTTTATAATGCTAAGCTAAAGTAATGACATCTACATTTATTAGCTGTTGCAAATCTATATATTAAAATATCCTACAATCCTAGTATATAATATGTTCAATTACAACTTCATTAGGCCACTAATATCTTCTTATATACCACACTGCTATGTAAAATGTGTTACATGCACTGTACATCTGTTTTCCAACACAGAAAACTTTAATGTATTTTTTATTTGCAGGCCAGGTGATAGAATTAATATATTGGATGATTCAAATGAAGATTGGTGGAAGGTAATATAAAAAAAAACATGCTGACACATCTCAATATAATGCTTTGTTTTGTATGTACAAAATAGGAATATCATTGTAGAAATGAAACAAAACATTCTGCAATTTCCCTTGTATATATAGGAAATTATACTCCATACTTGATATTAGTATTTACCCAGGCATTGAGTAACAATATGCATGTACATTTATAATTATTTAAACTTTGAGATGAATAATAGTATTACGTATAATTTATTGAAGGGGTATTACAGTATTAGATACAAAAAATCAGTAGTAATCTTGAAATGTAATTTAATACTAATAATAAGTAGAAAAACATGAGTACATTAAATATTTTCTTTATCTGAATGTTTTATATATAATCATAGCAATTCTTTCTTGTTGGGCTATATGGGTAAAACATACCCCTAGTGAGACTACTAATGAGACTGCACAACCATAGAGTAAAGTAATTATGGGCTTTTTAGGTGCTATTTATATTACAACCTCATAGTAATCTTTAAAAAATGCATGTTTATTCATAGAACAGCATCATAAAACCAAACCATTATTTTATGTCCACAATACCAACTTGTATATTTAGTTATTACATCATAAAGCATAGTTGCAATAAAACACCATCCAGTGCATTTTTCCTTGAGTTTTTGTTGTTGTTGTCTCACAACTGTGCTTCTTCGAGAGCCTCAGGTGAGTCTATTAGTATTACAAAAGACCATACATTGAGTAGAGGTCATCATGATATCTGCCTATTCACTGGATGGTGTTTTGTTGCACATATTCTCTATGATGTAATATCTAAATATATAGTTGGTACTGAGGATAGCCACATTAAAATTATTTTCAAATATCTTGAATGTTATTTCTTCACAGGGTAGAATAGAAGACAGAACTGGATATTTTCCAGCTAATTTTGTACAAAAGGTCCAAACAAATGAAAGACTTTATCGCTGCACAAGAACATTTATTGGATGCAAGGAACAAGGGCAAATGACACTTAAGGAAAATCAGGTACATATGTCTCGCATGTATAAACAAAGCAAAGTACCCAAGTTAATTACTTACAATTACAATTTCATATATATTTAAAAAAAAAGATTAAATAATTGTAAATAAAACAATTCAGGTATTTTGAGATTTCTATATATTTCTTTTTGACTTTAACAAGCTTTAACTATCATAGGTTACATAGGTTAAAAAAGACAAACACATAGCAATCCCAAAACTTGTAATCCCTAACTGATCCATAGGAAGGCAAAAAAAAAACCTTATGAGGCATGATCCAATTGGGTCTAAAATAGGAGGAAAAGTCTTCCTGACCCTCTGAAGTGAATTGGATAATATCCAAGAACAATAATCTATTGTTCTTGGATATCATTTATGCTTCCTCATGTCCAACACCCTTAAGCAATCCACTGAATTTGCTGGAATCAGTTCCTGTGGAAGTCTATTCTAACTTCTCACAGCTTTTACAGTTATCACCTTTTTCCTATTTAGTTTTCTTCCAGTTTTCTACCCTTGTGCCATTTGTGGTGAAACTGATTTTGTAGCCATATTTTGTGAATGAGAAACACACAGTAAACTATTCAGATAAAGTAATTATTGGTCATGCTTTAAATGGTCTCTTTGTATGATCACCCTAAGCTTCAGCCATGTCAGTAAGATATCAGTTTGGCCATGTCTAAGCTTCAGCCATGTCAGTAAGATATCAGTTTGGCCAAAAAATGAAAGGTTGGATTACAGGAATTTGGTCTCATTTAGCAAGATTCTGATATGGAACATCTGACTGGACTAAATGTTGTGTCTTTCTCTCTCTATCTCAGCATGTCCATAGCAGTGGATACCTATTGCACAGCATGCTGCTCGCAGGCTATCCCTGCAATGCCATGCTTCAGAGTGCTTACAGTGCTTAGTATGTCCATTTCAGAGAATCCCATGTACTTACCATGAACTTGGGAGAAAAATCTGTGTTATCAACAAATCTCTTCAAAATTCTCGCTTTAATCGGCTTGTCATTTGCAGGCTTCCCAATGTGTTTAGCATGTTCCCAGCAGAGTGCTCACTGTGCATTTAGAATGTCTTCTAGTGCTTAGCATACTTATTACAAGTTGCTCCTTGTACTTAGGGGGTTATTTACTAAAGAGCCAAAGGATCCAGCCACAGCTTCGGCTGATCCTTCGGCTCTGTTTGGCCACCTCTGCCTTTCGGTTCAGTCGAACCGAAAAGCTGTACGGGATATTCGCAATAGCCCGTACAGCAGCCAAAGGCAGCCAAGCGGTTCAGCCGAGCCGAAGGCATATGCTTCGGCTCGACTGAGCCAAAGTGACACAAAGCTTGGAGGAAGGTTGGCCAAAGGTCGGTCTTAACGCAAATGACAGCTGGGCAGAGCCAGCCGTGGTCTCCCAAGTTGTAATGATAGATCAGCGTCCCCAAGTGACCTGGGGACGCTGATATGTCAATAAACAATCACAACAGGGCGTCAGTGATCTGAACAGCAGCGCATTCTTCTCACAGGCGCCAGTGAAAGCCACCAGCATAAGATGCCATAGCGACCCAGGCGGCCCACACGGCATCTGGCCAGGCCCTCCTACGCCCCGGGCCCCATAGCGGCCTCCTGGGTCGCTATGTCGATTGTTAGACCACTGGCTGGGGGTTCTGGGTTGTAGCAGTGGTAACAGTGCTGGGAGTATCTACGATATGGAGAGGTCACAGTGCCTGGGTAAATGGGGTGTATAGGAGACACAGTGCTGGGGGTATCTGGTGTGTAGAAGGGAATCGGTGCTGGGGTAACTGGGGATGTACAGGGTAACAGTATTAGGGGTATCTAGTGTGTAGAAGCAGGTCCACTGATGCAGCCAGTACTGGGCCTGGGCCCACTATACTGGTCCTGGGCATCATCCGGTCACAAAATGGTGGCAACTATGGAATTCCAATAGGGGTAGTAATGCAGCTGTCTTTGAAACCCAAACATATTGGAATGTTTTTTTGCAAAGTGATGGGAGAATACAAAAAAAAGAAGAATTTCATAGTTGTCAGTATTCAGAGAGATGGAGCTAAAGACTAGAGCTAAAAATGTGAACAAAATTTCTCAGCATGCCAAATTTATTTAAGGTTGTTAACATGTAAAACGAGGAAAGACTGTAGAAAACCTTTATCTGCAGTATATGTAAGTGAAAAATGGAAAAAGGCGTTTTGATTTGTTGAAGTAGTGGATTACATGTAAAATGTTTCTATTATCAGAAGCCTGCCTTTGGGGTATAAAACATACCTGGTCTTCATGAATTATAGGACCAAGAAATTTGTTTAATTGGTTTGCCAAGACAGTAGTGCATAGCCTAAAGTACATATATACACAAAAAGTTCTTAGAAAAGTGACTCAGGGAGTATTGAAGACAACCAGACAACTATTAATTGTAGTATAAGGTTAGAAATGTCAGATTTTCAATTCCTTTCAGTATAGAGTTCCTATAATATTAGCTAAACTGAAAACCTACAGCATATGTTCCTGTGTTTGTGTAGTGTTGGTGGCAGGTTTATGTTTATCATTGCCTACAGAGATTTATGTACATGGTCTGCTAGGTATTTTTGTCAGGAGCAAAGTATTTTTGTACCACAAAGACATATTTATTTATTTGCATTTACAGATGTCCAATAAATACGTACTAATACATATTCATTTTTTTTCTTTGTCTTTGCTTGTACCAGTGTCTTTGTTTTGCTTTGGACTCTAATTGTAGATAAAGCAGTCCATCACAGGGTGTATGACAGTCAACTTATCTTTAGAAATCACCTTATGTAACACTTATTTTAAAATGTCTTGAAAGTGTCTGAAACAGTATGGATTCCTCCTGACTGTCTCAGCTCATAGCTATCTGGTATTCTTCTTAGCTTGACATATTTCGACAACCATCCAGCAATTCAGGAGAATCAGTCCTCTATAGTTCCAAATTGGAGAAAAGAAAAGTGTCAAGCTTAATCTTACTAAAGCCACACACTAATAATTTTCATTACTAGGTTATTTTAACATGACATCAATTTTATTAGCATTATCAATTTCAAGGCAGGTGCACAGCTGCACAGCTGAAAGTCCATTTGCTTAAAGCTTTCATTCATTGTGACAGTGTCTGAGAGTCTGGGATATCAATTTTGGTAGTACTGTTGGAGAAAGAATAATGGAGCATTCCCAGGTTTTAAGATAAATGAAACCACATTTCTCATTCTTTGCTGATCTGAGATCCCCAAATTACATGAGACTCCATGGGGGTGATTGGGGGTGATTTACTAACCTAAACACACGCACGCACCAGGCGCCTGTGCATTTTTACACAGAAAAACGTATTTATCAACCAAACACGAGCAACGTGTCACATTTTCACGCCGTTATGGCGCGTTTTTATGTATTTACCTACGTGCGCGTCATGTAGCATGCGCCATAGGCTACACGCTGCTCTAATAGCGGCATGCAAGTCTCTAAAAGCATATTTCCACTAATGCCATATATGGAAAAATCATGCACATGATGCATATATAATGCTGCTTCACAGTTTAGACAAAAATGGTTAGCTCATGCATTTACATTCCTGCATTCATCAACGCAAGCAACACAACAAAAACTAATTTACACAACATCACCTTGCAATTCATGCAGGGCTTTGCACAACACACCTGCTGGGTGTGTACACACTACAAAGGTGTCTGGATTCCACCAATAGATCATGCTGGGAGGGAACACACTACAGAGGTGTATACTTGTTCGTGGCGTGTTTATAAGGTTAGTAAATCAACCCCGTGTGTGTGTGTGTTTCTGCTCTACCGCCGCTGCTGGCTCATAGCACATAAATCCTACCTCAAGTCAGACAAATGTTAGTAAAAGTGATATACCATAACAGGAACTAAGAGCTTCTTGCACGGATTTTCAGGCATACATTTTAAAAGGCTTTAACCACTTGCTGACCGGGGTGTTTACACCCCCTTCCTGACCAGGCCATTTTTCAGTATTCAGCGCTGCGGTACTTTGGCTGACGTTTATTCCGTCATGCAATGCTGTACTGAAATGAATTTTATACCTTTTTTTGGGGACACATAGAGCTTTCTTTTGGTGGTATTTAATCACCACTGGGGTTTTAATTTTTTACTATATAACAAAAAAAGTACTGAATATTTTTTTTTTTAAATGGTTTTCCCTTTATTATTTTAGGAAACATTTATTTTTACCCAATTTTTTGCTAAAATATAAAAGTCGGGGTCACGTCGGGTAAATAGACACCAAACATGTCAAGCCTTAAAATTGCGCGCGCCCGCGAAATTGCAAAAAATCACCATACCCAAAATTTTACCGTTTATCAGTTTAGTGTTATCAGTGATTGATGGCCCTAAAATTATTGCTCTCATTGCGACGTTCGCTGCGATATGTAGTTTTTGTGTGTAGGTGCATCTAACGCATTTTTGCGCATCTATGTGGGGGACTTTAAAAAAATGTTTGTGGGTTTTTTTTGTGTGTGTACATTTTTATTTATTTTGTGAGCAATTTTTTTTTTAACTTTTTTTACACTTAACTTTATTGTTATCACATAGGGTGCTAAGAAGTACCTATGTGATAACAAATTACAGTGACAGGTCCCCTTTATGGAGACATCAGGGGTCTCTAAGACCCCGAATGTCACCTAGGGACCCCCAGAGAAGCTGATGAAGCACAGGTCTGCTTCATCAGCTTCTCTCCGGTTTCTGTACCGGAGAGTGACAGAGGAATGCGGAAGTGATGTAATATACATCACTTCCAGCATTCAGAGACCGGGAGGAGAGCGGAGGGAGATCGGGTCCTGATCCCCCTCCGTTCTCAGTGCACAGAGAGACATCGCCCGGACTGGATGGACGCCCGAGATCGCGGGGATGGCGGCGGACATCGACGGTGACCAGAGGTATGGAGGGGGTTGGGGGTTTCAACATTTACATTCCTGCATTCATCAACGCAGTGCCTAGTACTGTGAGGGACCTGTTTCGGCAGGTCCCCA